ATCAGTGAGAAAAAAATTCCTGTTCGCGTGCCGCGGGGAACTCTTGGAATGACGCCGATACGCCGCAGGTAGGTACTACTTTTCGAGTGCTTCTCTCATGGAGCTGCTGAGGCGCATCCAAGAGCTGAACGCGACGCACTAGAAAAAACTCTTTTTTACACTGATATGTCTTTGACTAGCGTGAACGTCCCGCGCTACATTAGAAATATTTTTGCACTCTACATCACATAAGAGTTAATTTCATATCATTCATTTTCAAACCAAGAACTAGTGTGGGATAAGGAAAGATACAAATTGTAATAAGCGTCACATATATCACTACTAATCGTATACAATTTAATTCTAACTTTTCCGAACTTGTATCTTGGAGCTTTGTATTTAACTAAAGTAACTTTTGAAAATAGAAACTAAGGATAAAAGAATGCTACGCTCTAATGTATGGGAAAGATAATTTAAAAGAACCTCGTACATAAATATAGCTAAAAGTAATAATTCCCGAGAGTCTATAATCCTCCCAATAGCGATTGCAATGAGGTTCTTTCGGATACCGATGGGCTTTATCATGATAAAAAATTGTCCAAAAGCGAAATAATGAAAAGGTTTCTCTGACAATTGAGGGGAATACACTCTTGACATGCATTGTGTCAGAAACTTGAAAAGTTAGCGTTCAGTAGGCATAATGCATTGGTGATACTAACGAATCGACATGTTAGCAAAAACTTAAACAAAAAACTATGAAATATGCACCAATTCTAAGGACTTGCCCAAATATGGTTTAAAGAAAAAGTTCTGATCGCAGTAGCAATTAAAACTTGTGGAAAGCAGGAATGAAAACAAAAACAAGACAAAACAAAAAACAAAGATAACAAAGAGAAGTGACAAATTCAAGATACAACAAAGAAAGGCCATGAACCAAATATTAAGAGAAAGTTTCAGTTGCAAAAATAATATCTATTACTTGATACAAAGGATAAGACTGTAACTTCAGCAGTGTAGCCCACTCGAGCTCTACAGGGTTTGATGCTGATCCGAGTTGCTTTCAATGGCCCCTTAAGATTAAAGTCTATTTTTTCATTTACACGTAGTAGAAGCATCTTGTTACTACTTTCCTTTTCAGGCACTATTTTTGATTAGCTAAAATTCTCGCAATAGTTGACTTACAATCTGCGAGGCTACTGCGTTCAGAGGCTTTCTTTCCCCTGCATCCAGAAATGAGGTTAGACCACCAAACTGCTGTCTGAGTTGTGAAACTTGTTAAAGAAGGACGATGACCTCCTTCCACGCTTGAGAGGAAAACTTCCATCTCTTGACCTTTTAGATCATCAAAGGATTCTTTGCTGCACCACATTTCCCAGAACAAGATCCCAAGAGAGTAGATTTCTGAAGAGGCATTGTAGTTTCTATTTCGCACCGTTTCTGGTGGAAGATGAAGAAATGTATCACACTTTGATCTGTGCTCGATGGTCAGCTGCCTCCTGAGGGAGATGTTGCTCAGCTTAATATCACGGAGATTGGAACTGTCAAGCTATGTAACATGACACAAAAAACTTCAATTTCAGGGTTGAAAAAGACTCGATAAACAGTCTTTTTGTCTTGGTGGACTAGTTGTTCCATAGAATACACTGAATCTCACCAAAAGGACTTTCTAACAAGGCAAGGGTCATCAGCTTGCTTCAAACACACTCACTTATGAATAAAGCCGCCACATGTCATATTGGTATTTTCCCTTGGAAATGCGCCCTTGGAAGAGGCCAGGTTCCATCGGTAGTTTCAAGTAGACATCCTCGCTAACATCCCAAGAAAGGTCATCCCAGGCGAACCGCATGCTCTGGATTTCCATGGAACCAAACAACGCGAGATCACCGCGCAAACGCTTGCATTTGTCTCTACAAGGCTTGAACAGAGCTTCAGTATCTTTCTTGCTTTGTACCTCCTCTATTAGTTGCTGAAAAAGTTTTGTATCGGCCTCAACAAGCATGGGAATTCTCGCTTGCAAATTATTCAACGTGCAAACGGCTAGCTCCAATTGCCCTTCGACCGATGGCTTTAGCGACTTAAAGGTTGCAACTTTCGCTAAATACTTTTGTGACATGATTCATAGGTACTCAGCGCGATCTTTATTGTATGCACGCTTCTTTTTTCCTTCTTTGATACTGTCGGCGATAGATTTAACTCCAGCCATTGGAAGGAGTAGCACTGTTACTGGAACAGCCAACGCAGCTCCAACAAGAACAGCTGGAGTCATGAAAGGAATCACAATTCCAAGATAAACTTTACTTTCAAATGGAAGCGAAAAGTTGTAAATACTGTTGAAAAGTTGATCTTCTACACTTTCACTTGTTGTTTTGTCTTCAACATGTACTTGCATATGTGAAACATTGACTTCCACGTTGCGAAGCTCTCTCTCTAAATAATTGTATGTTTTGAGGAACTCTGTAATAACTGATTTCCGTGCCTCAACAAAAACTTGGTGCTCTTCCTCCCACTCTTCAATTGATATCTGTAGTCTTCCCAGGATAAGCTTGACAAGGGCAGCCTCAGTGACTTCCCATGACTGTTCGACAACTGGAAGTTCGTCAGACTTCCACTTGCAAAATCCCTTGACTACCTCCGGATTCTTTAGGTGGTCGATTAAGGTTTCAATGGCTTGGTGGATGTGCCTTTCAAGATATAGCGCCATTCTCTCCTTTGAAGACCCCTCTTCAGCTTGAAGTTTCCTCAGCCTCTCTATCACAGTATTTAATCTCTCTCTTGCAGCCCCATGGTCAGTGGAGATATCTCTTATAAACGTATTCATCAGCCAGATTATTCGAGACAGCAATTGATCTAGCCCGCTGTAGAGATTAAGGAGGAATCAAATATACTGATTTACCCGTTAAAAGGGGGGATTGTTGTTCGTTAATGCTATACCACGGGTATATTTGATTTCCTCGACCTCTCCAAGAAAATTTTGAATAATCTCCTGCTTTTTTAGTTAGCTGCTCATTCATCTCTTTTACATTCATTTTTCGTACATGGATAGAGAATAACAGCTCTAGTGGCGAGACATGAGGAAGAATGTTGCAGGATTTTATCATTTTCCCTATTTTCCGGGAAATTTAAAAGGGTAGGTCTCCATCTATCGGCATCTCAAATAGGACTCGTTTTTCCTTAAACTGCCCGACCCTGAATTCTGTGAAAATTACCGCACGCGACACAGTAGACTGGGCGAGAAAAGGATTAAAGGAATCAGATAGAAGTACAAATTCATACATTTGCTTTCTTTAAGAGAAGTAATTTTTGAATTGTTGGAAAGAGCGATATTGTGATAACAGGTAATGACTAAAGAAGATGCTTTTTTTCTCAAGAAATGATAATACCTTCATGAATAACATACATTTAGAAACTATCTAAACTACCTCCAATGTTGTTCAAGCCTTTTTTCGATGCTTTTTGTTACCAAACAGCCACTCTTCTCTGTAAGTGAAGCAAATTCTGAATTCATGACTCCACACTTCTGGGCAGCAAGAGCTTTAGTTGTTGAAAGGCGGATACTTTGAGTATTTGTAACCAATCTGGCAGACACTGCCTCAACTTCTTGGTTATGTGGGCTAAGACCCTATTTCCTTCTAAGGGTTGAATGGTGTCCCACTTGTTTCAAACGAACAAAGCGCAGCTTGGTGAGAAGTCCATTTGCTGTTCAATGGTGAGATTCCTTGCTTTATGTAGAAGTCGAACAAGCGAACAAATAAGCAAACAAACTATACATAACTATTAATTTAAAACTGAGGACTGAAATGAATGGGTATTATTGCTCCTTGAGCTATCTCAAAAAATCGAGGGGTAATAAAAAGATCGAGCACTGATGGGGAGTTGAAAGGATTGGCTGGTAGTCATTTCAGAAAGTATTGCAGTTTCAAAAGAGAATGGCTTGTAGAGCTAATGTTATCAATTTATCTAGTGCATACAGGCCTCTCACACTGTGAGGCTAATAATCCGTCCATGGAAGGGGTCTATTATCCCCTCTATCACTCTCATCATTTTAAAGCCATCTATATATACCCTTTTCCCAAAATTTTACGGCTTGGTATTTTATTCACATAATTACTCACCCGATCTTTCTGAACTCCTCCAGCATTGCTGCTGTTTGTGACATAGATGAAAGCAAAGGCATTTGGCAAGTAATCCACCACAGTAACGTCCATAATCTCTGACTCCCCGACACCAGGGCTGTCAACGATCACGACACCGTCCTGATGTGGAAAGAGAATAAGTATGTTTGTTTGTTTGTTTGTTTTTTTGTTCCCTCAAATTCTTGTCACCTTTCGGCTTTAAAACCCTCAACAGAGTTCTTTACTTTACATTCATTAAATTTGACTAAAAGACCAACTTTCAAGCTGAAGCATGATCGTGGGAGACTCCTACCTTTAACAATTTGTGAGGCCAAAATAATTCCACCTTTTTATAGTGATGCCTTTTCTCTTAAACTTGCAGACTTGACATGAACAAAGTCTGATAATTGATCTATCTAAGGAGAGGATTCTTCAAGAGACTTTGTCTCCGGAGCCTTCCCTTCTTCCTTATAGTGTATCTCTATCCTTTTCTCTCTTCCATATTTCAATTCACAAATTGTAGATGTTGTACTCAGAACTGAAAATGGTAAGAGCTCTTCACCCAGAATTAGGTTCAACATGCTGCTTTTTCATGCACTGGTCTCCCCTAAACGGAAGTGATAGGCAGAAATAATCATTGCTTATATCTTAGGAAGCTTTCTTATTCAAACAGTATTAGTTTGACAATTTATCAGAGGAGCTTCTTGTCTCTCACGCGCTATTTTACCCAGCTCGCTCAGAAAATAAACAAGCTTTGTGTAAAACAAAAGGTTGCCAATTAACAACATGCCATAAAGAGCTTTAAAAATAATCCGTCTAAAACATTGTTCGTCACTTTGTATCGTCCTTTGCTCTACCGTATATTTTTTAAAATTTTCATCTCAGTGCTACCCAAATTGCACTACCTACCCTGTCTTTCTGAACCCCTCCGGCATTTGTGCTGTTAATGACATAAATAAATCCAAAGGCTTAGGGAAGATAGTCTGTTACCGCTTCGTTCATTACTAACGATTCTATAACACTAGGACTATCAATGATAGTGACACCTTTCTAAAACACAGAAATTAACGCCAAATATTTATCTATAGACAATTATTTACTCTTTTTGGTACAGACCAGATAGTGTGCTATCAGCTACTATTGGACTTTAATTTCATTTTGTAATTTACTCACTCATCAATATTTAGAGTAGGACTGAGCATGGATCCATGTGCTTTTCATTATTGCGGACTTTAGTTTGCTTCAATGCTGTAATAAATCTCAGTCTTGCAACTGTTCATGTACAAAATTTTAGCAAAGTCAACGAGGAGGACAATTTGCAAACTCTTTAGCTTGGTTTAGACGTTCATGATAAGTGATTGCAAAAATAGAGATCTCGGCCACTGGATGGGCCCACCTTACCATATCAACCTACGAAGTACTTAATACTGAAAAAGTGTTGTGAAGCAAGATTAAGGGCTAGCCTGGTTGACTTGCTCAAACAAACTGAGATGTAAATTGAACCTTTTCCTCGTTCTGCACCTTTCACCTGAACAAAAGGTGAGATCTGCTGGAGGTAGCTCTTCCCTGAAGACTCTTTTGGATTCTCGAGAAATATGGTTGATGTTAATCCTGTCTCCGAGTCTGAGCTTTTGAAGTACGCCACAATTTTTCTTTCCTCTCCGTACTTCAACTCGCATAACGTCGAAGTTGTGCTCAGCGAGGAAGATGGTAGAAGCCTCTCTCCCAGAATAAGATTTATTAGGCTGATTTTCCCGGCGCTTGTCTCGCCTAAAATAACAAGATAAACAGACGCCCTCATCCAGATGTCATAACTAAACTGCATGTGCGACCGTAAGCATGAAGTACGTTTTTGTTCATTCCTGAGATTCTCGTAAAAGTGCATAACCCTTTGCATACTAAGTGAATACCTATGTCCAGATAATACCTTTACTACTTTTGATATGTAACTGTGTAAATTGTGCCGGCTAGTTGATGTTACACCTACTGCAACCTAAAATGCCCACAATGATTCCTGATTTTCCTTGCAGAGAATCGTTCATATGGAAACAAATTCCCAAGTCCAGCATTTTGCTCCGAGAGCAACACCAAAAACATGTCGATACTTTAAGATAAAAACTTGGTAACAAAATCAAAAGTTTGCGTTCAAACCACACCTTAGGGCCAGATCTTGAAGTTTGGCAAGAAAATTCCTTCTCACTTTATCTGCCAGCCCTTGTTTCTCCATTTGATGAAAGCCAGTGTCGCGAACACAACCGTTACCTTGTTCATACCCGAAAATAATTCTGGGTAGTTCCGCCATAACTTGAAAAGGCAACTCCTATCATTTCCATTTCAAAGAATTATTATAAGTGTCGGGCCATCCAGTCTTACCAGAAAAATATCGAATGGATTGAAATTTTTTCTGGTGAAAACTTTGCCACATAGCCTTGGTAGGTCCTGGAAGCCATCCACAGATGGGCCCGAGAGGCAACTTCACCTGTGAACTCGCCAAGCTGGCAATAAAGCATCGTTGGCGGTCCAGTCTACATGAAGCCATCTCTCACCTCTGTTTTCCTTCAGAGGCTTGCCTCTACCCACATTCCAGCTTAATGATGCCATCGTGAAGGCTTCTGTAGAGGGAAAATGGCTGGAAAGACACTTATAAATCGCCAGAAAAGCGAGAAACCGAATCGATTTCAACGCATCCAAACACGAACTGTTGATCTAGGTCATGTGACCCCAAGGTCTCAGCCCATGGTGTCTCAAAACTGCAAATATTGTAACGGATGCTCCATATAAGGACCAACGAAGTAAGGTTAAGATTGTATCGCCAAACTACAACTGAAAAAATTATGGTCTTTTTCGTATTCAAAGGGTTAAAGTAGGTGTTCGTTCTGACAACAAATGCTTTTAAAGGCAATGTTTTCAGATCTTTCAATGTCATTTGGCCCGCACGCCCACTCATGCTTACCGATAGTTAAAAATAAAAACGTGTAGTAGTGAGTTCGCAGTCAGTCGATCAGAGTTAAGGACTCAGAGAGAGTCAGGGTTAACAAGAGTCAATCAGTGGGTGTCAAAAAGAACTGAGAGAAGCATATTTGCTTTTAGCACTCGCTTCTCATTTCTTTGACTACTCGCTGACTGATTATAGCTGACTGTATACACCGTGGCTAGTCCTCCATTTTTAAAAAGGCACTAACGGAACAGGCCTGGAATCCTTTAGTTAGTGCCATCTGTCGAACGTGGTATGATCTGCCGCTAGTTTCCCTTTGTACGCTGTAAATGAAATGGCCCTGAAATGGACCAATCCCTAGTCAATTTAGTCAATTGAGGAGTTTCACAAGCCTGGAGGCGAAATAAATAAAAAAGTATAGTATTCCTTCTGATCTAGTTGGCTGATGTGTTGATTCATTTCCTCAACAATTTTGGTTATATTCACCTGCAGCGAGAGGCAATGAATGTTTCTCACTCAGTTGACTCAAAAATCTTCGGTTTCGGAAAATTCTCTCAGCAGTAGGTTTCTTTTGCGTTGGTCTTCAATTATTGCCTCCGATAGAATAGAGAGAGCCTAGCAGAGCACATAAGAATTGTTTTTAAGGCATCTTTTTGCAATGTCTCCCATTTCGAAGGAAAGCAGTCCTGATGCTACTCAAACTTAATACTCACTGCTGCCAAACTACAACTATTTAAAGGTGCTATTCTTCCCAACCTAACCTATTCGCATCCTGTTTGGCTCTTCTATCGTGCAAGTGATAACAGAAAATTAGAGCGTGTACAAGAAAAGGGACTCAGAGCTATTTACTGCGACAGATTATGAAGTCATGATAAATTACTGATTAGATAATCTATACACTTGCGTAAAAGACATTTAAAGGATATAGCCATTCTTATGTACAAGACAAAAAACAACATCTGCCCGAAATATATTGCAGACCTTTTCCAAATGACAAACACCAAATATTCACTGAGAAACAAGGAATTCTCCTTGCCTAGAGTTAATATGACCCCACATTGAAAGTATTCCATCAGACATATTGACCCAAAGCTGTGGTGTCTAATACCTAAAAATGTAACCGACCTTCCTGCATTATCTGTGTTTAAGAAGCATACTAGAAAGCTTGATGTAAATTCCTTACCGTGGCCGATGCTCCTTGTTCTGAATGTATTTTATGTCGTACATAATAGACACTTAAGTATTTTTATTAAGTCTAAGGGCATATAAATAATATTATCTACTATGTACACGTTTTATCAATTGTAAATAATTTTATCAATTTTAATGCTTTACTTTAATCTATTCATAGTGTCCCCATTGAGTGTTTTATTACTGTTATTTCAGTTTGACACTTATATAAAGATATTCATTCACTCATTCACCCAGACATTGAGGCGTATAAAGCATTGTCTTCTTGTCTTTGTAAGCGATCGTAACATGTTATAACATTGGAAAATTGGAAAAGTGAGAGGAGACAGCTAATTTATTCTGTTAGCTTGTCAGTTTTGGACAACTAAACACCTTGTTGCGTGTCATTGCTCTGTATGTATAGGTAGGATTGGCTTAAATGTTGATATAGAGATGATTCATGATAAATACATTTGCATCTGGTGATAGCAATGACCAGCAACATCTAGCAACAACATAGTTTTACGAAAATATGCAGATTGTTGTTCATAAATCAAAGGCAAGTTTCAAAAATAATGAAAATGACAGTCGTTGGACAGTGTCAATGATCTATTTTTTAAGTATTTAACGTTCCTGCATTCGAAGAATGTATTTAAAGGCGTAACAAAAACGGCGTGTTTTGACCTGTAGGGTCGTTTTGTTTGGCGCCCTCAAAAATTTCCTTTTAACATCCCGAACATTATGTTGCATCTATTTATATCTTTCTTTTGTAGAAATTTTTTAAGAGCTATGGCTGCTACAAACCTGAATAGTCGTATCGCTTACGGACAGTCGCGTTCATAACTTCCTAAAGGCGGAAGAAAACCAACATAAGAAAAGGAAACCCAAAAGTTACTTTGCTTTGGTAATGGCATTTCTTGCGGCTGAGAATTAAAATCGACGACTGGAAGACTTGTTTGTTTTTTCAATGATTCTATCTTTAGCCTCATCACCCACGCACTTAATTACAACTCTTTTTTTTTTCGCGGATTGTGGATGCTTTCCTTTTGTTGTTTCCATTCACCAATAAGGTCGACTTTTCTTGTCAAAAAAGGCCTATTCTATTTATAGAGTAAACAAAACAATACATTGTAACTTTTAGATGCGAAATTCCTTCTCCTCTTTCTTGTGTTATTCGCTATTTATCACATACAGCAAATCAGCCTATCAACCTTTAGTCACAAATTATTCATGCATGCATCATTCAAGTAACACTCAGTCATGGACCTCATGGAGCTGTCTGACTTGCACAGTCTCAAACCCTCGCGTGACCTTCTCGAAAACATTTCTCAATAGTAGCGGTTTTAGATGCCACGGTTAGACACTGGTTTTCGTTTACTGTGTTGACTAGCGGTTACACACGATTTGTGATATGTTATTTGAAACCTTGTCACGTATTTCACCGGAGGGAAATACTGAGTCTTAAGTTTAGTCGTGCAGTTTCATAAAATTCACCACTTTGCGCTTCCCTCTTGTTGAAAAACTTGACGCGTAGAAGACTTCAGGGGACAATTGCTGTACAGCTCACGACTAAATACTGTTGTCTTATATTTCAGTTACTATACAAATTTGCTCTTACTAAGGCAGAATTGCAAAAACCTTGCACACACGCATATGTCCGCAGGACTTCTGCTTCCATTAGCAAACGGACCATACAACAAGTACATGTTTTTGTGTTTGTTTAAAGTTTACCTTTTTAGTACTGTCGACGTGCGCGAGATATATACTGATTGCGGTAGAATTTATCATCGACAACGGCGTAAAGCATAACGATTAGATGGCAAGATCTGTAACATAGCAGGGAGAACAGTAAAGCCAGGAGAATATAAAAAGTTTATGGTCTCTTTGGAAAGCACAAACTGACTTATTTAGTGCAAAAACCATTCCGTTGCATATGCTTTTCGGTAAATTTCCCAAAATCACCATAATAGCATATTTCATAATTATTATTCTTTATCTTTCCGCCAAGGAAGCAAAATTCAGTTGATTTGATTAGCCGAGTGTTTGCCCTACTGAAGTGACTTATTTCTTCCCGGTCGATGGCGGTCTTTCTGTGTAATAATTCATAGGTGCAATACAGCTGCAAGGAATAGGTCTCAATTGTCATAGAAACGCGTACCTGATGGGCCGTCCATCCACCTTTGTTAAGAGATGTCTTTGAAGCAGCCTCTGTGCGTGTTTTCATTTCATCAATGGCTTTTAATCCTTCGCATGAAATACCACGATCCTCCATACCTCGAATCTTGTCTGCCGTGTTTTTATTGATTCTGTGGACTCTTTTCACTACCAGTCCATCCCAAGTTACTCGTAGATGAAAAAATAAGCAATACAAAGTAATTAAGGTAACGATGAAATAAACCAAAATAAACCAAAGCCATATCATCTCAATTTTTAAGACAAATTATTGTCTATTGCATTCGAGCCAGAACTGTAATGTCTACTCTGGAGCATAATCAGACATTCCCTAGTTTTTAGTCCCCTTCCTCCAAGGGGATTCGTTTCGTTTCCTTCGTAAAATGCAGATTAAGTGTGAACCACACTGAATTTCATTCTTCGCTGGCAACATGAAATTCTAGAAGCAAGAAAGCTGACTTAAGTATTGTGTGATCGTGGATGACTGCCATTCCTTCCCTTCTAGTCTTCGACCGACTAATTAGCTTTAAGATTTAATGATTTCATTGAATATCATCTTTCATTTGTAGGCCTCTCGTTTTTAAATACGTTGTCATTTAAAGATTCCATTCCCTCCTTTAAGTGCTTCTTGAGGTTATTCCTTAGAAAAAAAAGTTGTCTCAAAATCAGTTTATTGAAACTTTCCTTAAATGTTTCCTGCCAATGTCTGTTTGTAAAAATACAATTGAAAAGATGGTCACCGTGCTTGTTTAAGAGATATAATCGGTCAAACTTACCCCATTTATGCCTTCAGTGGCACTTGTCAGACAGGTAATGGGCTCCTGCTTCTAGAGTAGCAATTGAAAAGAACTTGTATTTTATCGACTAATGATAGGACATGTGAAGCTTAAGCATAAAAGTGACTGCGCCTTAACCCAAAACTGAAGCAGTTTAAGCTGGAAAAATGAAATAGACAACGCGGGTAGGGTTGGATTTTTTTTCTTTGTTTGCTCGTTTCAAAATTTATATAAATTTACATTGTTAGTTTTAATGCCATGAAGATCACGTCGGGAGTGCAACATGCATAAACAGAGTTGATATACCTGACATCTTGCCTAACATTTTGGACTCCCCTCAAATGCTCCAGGGCAGTCTAAGTTTATGTAAAGAATGCCTCGAACAGTACTATGTTGAAGAGGGATCGGTGGAATGACTAAAAAATGAAATGCAATCCGTTTAATGGCTTTCACGCAAGAAGTCGTGGCCAACCTTGCAGCTTGGCCACGAGATAAAAGGAACATCTGTTAGCACACAAAATTTAAGAGTGGAATTGCATCGAGTTGGGGAGTACAATTTTGCTGAACTTTCACAATTTTTGTTGCTTTATGTTCCAGAAAACGGCCATCTGGGCGTGTTTTGAAATTCTCCTTTCTTCGGAGATAGCAAAGCGGGATAGAAGTTTTTGATACAATTTTTGAAAAGGTTTTTTCAGAAGAGTTATTTAACAGTAAATAAAATGAATTATGACCCAATACAAGCAAGCTGTATGATTTTTATTCCAGCAACGACGCCAGCTATATTCCCAAGAACAAATGAACGAGTGCGATCTACGGGTTAATGATTTTCAAAGAGACTAAAGAAGCGCGATCCCATAATCCAAAATCGTATTCCATTTGGCTAAACAAAGCAGTTGCCATTTCTGACGTATCAACCGAACTTTGTAAACCCAATTATTTTTCACGCAAGCACAGATACCTCAAAGAGTGTACAAACATTGAGCCAATTTTTCACTCACCCAAACTTCAATGAAAACAGAAACAACCCTGGTGACAATAAGAGTGTGAGTTAACATTTGCGTGGAAGTTGTCAACGAAGACAATAAAACTTTGGTTCCCGCTTTCCCTCACACGTTCGGAAAATGCTATAAATTAACCTTTTGTAGACCGTAGACCTTTTGTAGTTTCCCCACAAAATAGGGGTGCAAAGAGTAAACTCCGTGCCGAGGTTGTCAAACAAAACGGATAGTCTGATAAGGCTTTCTAAGTACGTTTATTTAGAATTTGTCATATTTATACAACAAGTGATAACTACTCAGCTGTTGTGCCCATTTCTTGGGCGTGCTTACCAAGCACAAGAACTCTGACGGCGATAGCAAGTGGGCGTCAAAGTCCTAGATGCTGCACCCTTGAAACACATGTCACATAAAGGTACTTTAGAGTCCTTTTTTTCTTTATAACTCGCAAGAAATGACATTTCCCCCGATGTCTCATTGAACTATGAAGAAAACTAAAAATGCATCTTTTCTCTTAGACTCAAATCCTTAGAAATAAAAAAAAAATTATTATAGCCGTATAATTAATGTTTATTGGTTATTAAAAAAATGTCCACCCCACCATAGGAAAATAATTAGCCTCTCTTTATTTTGGTTTTAATCGCACCCAATTACAAAGCTCGACACCGATATCCAGAGATGGTCATGGCCCGAACTGACAAATATCATATTACTTCAAAATCAAAACCTAACCCCAGCAGAAATGTTTAATTGACATATACTCTACATCTTCAACACGGCCATTATATTTCCGACTGAAAACTTCGAACTTTTAAATATCGTATGGACAAGCTTTGTTGTGATAGATACGCAAAGAAGGTTAGGATTGAGCGTTACAGTGCAGCATGTAATTTCTTATGTGATTTCTCACTAAATGAGGAGAAAACATTGAGCTCGACTTTTGGTTAGCCAAAATTTCCGCGATTTTTGACTTACAATCCGCAAGGCTACTCCTTTCAATAGTGTTTGCCCAACATCTAGAAACAAGCTCAGTCCAGCCTACTGATGTCTGCGTTTTGAGATCTGTGAGAGGTGGGCGGTGACCTTCTTCTACGCGCGAGAGGAAAACACTCAGCTCCTGACCCTTTTGTTCTTCAAAGGCTTCTTTTCCGTGCCACATTTCCCATAACATGATCCCGAGGCAATAGATCTCTGATGAGACATTGTAGATTCTATTTCGGATAGCTTCTGGCGGAAGATGGAGAGATGTATCACAGTTTGATCCAAGCTCGATGGTCAGCTGCCTCCTGAGGGAGATGTTGCTCAGCTTAATATTGTGGAGATTGGAACTGTCAAGCTATATAAAAACGTAAAAAAATACAAGATTCTTGGAAGTGACTCTTGCTAAGCCTTCTAACTTTGGACATCTCTGGTAAGGCAATGATCACCGGTATTTTCATACTTAGAAATATAATTTTTTCTTGTTGAAAGCATTAACATAAATCACGTTTCGACGCATTGAGATGTATTGTGTTTACTTTTACATTACTGAGTTTGATGAGGTGGAGACTAACCGATCAAGATGACTTGTAGATATCCGGCTATCGCTTAATAAATAACAATTACTTAGTTACTAATTTTTTTCAAGGTCTTAAAATAAGAGTTGTAAAGAAAGCTTCCAAACAGATTATTAGTTGTTTTGAAAAGCATGGGGGCTTGCTTGAAAACTTCTTGGCCTCAGCTATTTCCAGATCAAAATATGCGTAAACAAAGAAATGACTGCCATTGCTTACTTAGTCAAGTTTGAAAATGAAGTATGAGTCTATGATGGACAACGGCTTTTTTTGCGAGCCACGTCAACTAGGAACTCTGATTTTGACGATATTTCAATGTTGAGGGCCTTTGATGACTTGCAATTGAAAGCTATAAACGAGTAACGACTTGTCAC